ATGTATTTATAAACAGGTTTCTACGTAAGATACTCGGTATCCGTTGGATGGATACCATCAGCAACAGCCTACTACGGGAGAGAACAAATTCGCTTCTATCTGAAGAAGAAATTAGGAAAAGAGGTTGGCAATGTATAGGACACACATTGAAGAAATCATCAAACTGAATCACAAGGCAGGCGCTAACTTAGAATCATGATGGGAAACGGAAAAGAGGAAGGCCGAAGAACGTACTATGTCGGGAATTGAAATCAAACATGAAACAAATGAATAGTAACTGAAAAGAACTGGAAAGGATTGTTTAGGACAGGGTTGGATAGAAAGTGCTGATGGTTGGTGTTATGACTTTATGTCCGGCTTATTACCACGTGATTAATCCGCCAATCAAAATATGACTTATTCATTCTTAGCAATATGCAAAACCAATGACGTTCGACCTGTATGAGCAACCAAGCGTCCTTATTGGTCCTATGTCCGCCTAGCCTGTCCACTCGAGTACAGAACACCAATACCAGCTCCCACCATGCGAATCGAATCGAATAATTTATTTCAGACATACTGGGTTTATATATCAACCAAACAGACCGCAACGCACCATAAAATAAGAAAAAAATATTTGTACACAATAAAGCCAAGAAGTGACTGTGAACGTGGGAGGCAGTAGTTAATAAACTGAGCATAATTTCACAATTGATTGATCACTGGGTGGTGATCAATGTCATGCTTGTCTAGTCCCTATTAGTGCAGATCGAATGCTATCGATCATGTTGCAATGTGGCCACCAGTCTAGGTGATTCGACACTGCGGGCACTATGTATTGACATTAGATGGTGGTTGGAGGTAGTCAACAGGAAACCCGGGTCCAGGGTTTCCTGTTGACTACCTCCAACCACCATCTAATGAGCATAATTTAGAGACAGTAAATCGTACAATAATGAATTATAGGTCAAAATAAAGCTTATGACAAGGGGAATATAAATACAAATAATCTAATCATTGAATAATTATACAGTAAGAATATTTATAGAATGTTATTCCATTATTAGTCCTCGGAAGTTACCCGTAATTTAATCTTAACTAGGATATGACAGTTAGCCTATGCTCCTCTCTGAGGGGTGACAGGCGTAAGTAAGTAATTAAGTAAGTATGGTATTCAGAAATTTCTAATGGGAGGCAAATTATGAGCCATCTGATGCTTGTATTACAAAAATTATCGTTAAATCATTATGAGGTCAAGTTTATATAATAGATGTATGTAACCGATAAGACATCATTGATTAACTTTAGGTTCATTGTAAAGCACAAAATCAGCTTCTTAGGTACCCAGTAGTAATTTGTTCAATTTTAATCAATAGTTGAAATATAGACAACACAAAACTTGAACTCAATTATCCCTGAGTTGTGACGAATGCTGAGTAGCTTTGAACCTTTTTAGTGTTGGTCAAGCTTTGTCGGCTAAATCGTAATCCAGTAGGTTAAACGTTCGCGTATGAGACTGAAGGCTCTGGGTTCGGATCCTACGAGTGAGATCGTGGATGCGTACTGCTGAGGAGTGCCACAATAGGACGAAACGGGCGTCCATTGCTTCCAGGTTTCCAACGGTGGTCTAATATTAATCGGCTCATGATCTCAATCAAAAATTTAATAATCCCCACTACCCCTATACTCATATATGATAACACAGATCTGGATGATTCGTAATGAACTGATACAAATCTTACATTCGTCAATATTTATTACTGATGTTCAGTTTTCCTTATCCTTATTAATATTCCATCTATAATTTTATGATACGTACTACTTCTAATAGACTACTTAATAGAATATGTGACCAATTAAACTAATACACATTTAAATTCACTTCGTATTGTTTTACTTGAATCTTCCCATTGATGTTTATGATTGCAATTGACCAGTCTCTTATTGGCATATATACATCCTGTGCGTATTACCTCGATATTGCCTTAATTCACAAGTATTCTAAGTAAAGATGGATAGTGACTAGTGGTGGAATCTAGGACGGGTGTTTCGTCCTGTTTGGAACTCGTCAACTTGATGTACCTTATATATCAAGATATAGAATTTCTGAGACTAATTGATTATTTCAGTTAATAAAGTTGATCATTATATCTAAGTTAAGCTAATAAACATTATCGATCAAATCTAAAGGTCATTCAATGATTTTAAATAATATTTTGATACTGAATACACATTATTATTATTACTATGTGCGTACATTACCTTAGTAACTGGCTATTGATTTTTATGTTATAACATTTTTTCAACGGATAGCTAGATATGGTCATGATTGTTTATCTTTTAGATATCAATGGTAAACTATTCATAAATAAGTCTAAATGATGGTTTTTTAATAGTTGAATTCATGAGTCGATTAAAGCTAGACCACTATGAAAAATCTGAAAGCACTGGACAGCTATTTCGTCCTAGTGTGGGACTCTTCAATAGTGCACATCCACAATCCTGCACATTCGACTCGAACTCAGAAGCTTCGGTTTCGTGCGCTTAACCTCCAGACCACCGAGCCGGATAGTAGTAGAATACAGGACGTATTTCTTGTCCTATTTGAGACTCGTCAGTTGGATATACCTGTATCTCATAGTTGCTGTTCACTCTGGAACTCGAATCCAGTACCGTTCGCTTCAAACACCACCACGTTATTCAGTTAGCTATTGAGTCCTGTTAGCTATTTACTTGTGCAATGGAATGAAGTTGAAATCCATTTGCTGTTTTTTACTTGTATCTTCCCATTGTTTTTACGGGTGCAATTGATCAGTCTCTTGTTGGCATATGTGCATCCTGTGCGGACGAAACGCGCTTTATGGATTCCACTGCTAGCCACCACCCATCTTTGCTTAAAAATAAGTTTTCACTCTTTGAGAACAATATTTTAATATTGAACACATAGAAGATTTAAGAAGAGTTAAAATTGAAGTATACAGATTAGTTATCTGTAAAGAACAAACAATTTAGCATAGAGGTTACATTGATATTAATTATTCTAACTTAGTATTTCAATTAAATCAAAGCAGATTAAAGATGAACCATACAGTCAATCAACTGAAGCAAACTCGACTGTTGCTTTTGCACATATCAGTCAATCGTCTTAGATTGTTCCTGCATTTCTATACCAATTACTTTCATTTCCCGTTCTTTCCTCCTCGATCTTCTAGATCTTCTTCTACCAGACAATCTATTCATGACTAGAGTTATATACTACTTATGTCGATACAAGTAGCACACACCACAGTATGAGCTAGCTATTATTAATATTTAGAATTTAATCTATCAGGGATTATTTAGTTATTATTTACTTCGAAATTTTTTAAATACCTTAACCTTCCCAATGTTAATGATAGACTTAATCTTGTCTGAAATATGTCCATCTTGTGCTGATTCTTTTGATATTGTCAGCAGCAAGCAGCGATTTGGAAGACTCTCTCAGTCTCCCACATTGTACGAGCATTCCACGTACCTAAATTCATGGCTGATCTGATTGTCCGAAGGAACTCCTCCTTTATCCGGGTTTAGGACTGGCAGTAGCCCCATAGGGGCTCTAGGCTGTTTTTTTAATATAGAAACCATATTATATACACTCGATAATTAGTTCTCCATAGAAATATGAAGTGAATAAAATGTGATTTGGAATGTTTTTCTAATGTTCTCTGTTTATAATTTTATTAGATAGAATTAGATAGTGATTAGCATTGATAAGAATGATGTGAGTTTCGTCCAAATTATGACTCATCGGATAGATGCAGTTGTATCTTAAAACTGAAGTTCATTTTTAGAACTCGAACTAAGTGTGTTGATCCCTTTAAGTGTCATTGGGTTATCTACTTAGCTATTGAATCTATACAATTACTGAATTGTGAAATAGGGTAAAGTTTGTTTTATTTCTATTGAGTTTTATTGTAATTTCCTATTGATGTTTGGAACTGAATTCGAGTGCCAGACGATTAATCCAAGATAAAAGGAAATTTATGTCCTAAATTCCACTGATAATTGTCATTCACCCGTATTTAAAAATATTTAAGACTTAGTGACCATACCAAACTACTCCTGGAGCCCCTCTGGAGCTACCGCCGGTCCCAACCTCGGATAAAGGAGGAGGGTTGGACATAAGATTAGCGAACCCATCGTGTACGAAACTAACTAGCTAAAATAACGCTAACCAGAAAAAATAATTCAAACCATTTAAACTGTACCCTAGGAGCTAGAAGGTCTTCATTTAGAAGAGTTATAAAGTATCATGATGAGAGCCGAATTCCTTCGGAAATCACGAGGCTGATGCTCATTCTGACAACCAGATCAACCATGAATTTAGGTACATGGAATGTTCGTACAATGTGGGAGACCGGGAGAGCCTTCCAAATTGCTGCAGAAATGAAGAGATACAACCTGGAGGTACTTGGAATCAGTGAAACACATTGAACGAAAGTTGGACAACAACGACTAGCTTCAGGGCAGTTTCTGTTATACTCCGGCCAGGAAGAAGAAAATGCTCCACATGCACAAGGAGTTGCGTTGATGCTGTTTAAACAAATACAAAGTGCACTTATAGGATGGGAACCTCATGGACCAAGGATCATCAAAGCCTCCTTCAAAACAAAGGAGGGCGTTACGTTGAACGTCATCAAATGTTATACGCCTACCAACGACTACAATGAAAACGCTAAAGATCAGTTATACGATAGGCTGCAGTCAATCGTCGAGAAGTGTCCAACAAAGGACCTGACCATTCTGATGGGAGATTCAAATGTCAAGGTTAGAATGGACAACACCGGATATGAAGACATCATAGGACGACACGGACTGGGAGAAAGGAACGAAAATGGTGAGAGAATTTTGCAAACCTATGTACATTCAACAAACTGATCATAGGCGGCACTATATTCCTATATATTGAAAAACAAAACCTTCATACAAAACAAAATATATTTCTGATTGCTATCCTCAATAAAAGAAGAAAAAAGAATACAGTCACATTGAAATGATGTATACAATTGTAGAGTTGAAGTTTATCAAACGGTAACTAGTCCCTTTAAACATTCCTATAATCATTTTCATTGACAATTCATGATAACTATATTATTCTTAAAGCAAATATTAATGATATATATATATATTAGAAAGAAAACAGAAAAATAAGAAATAAACAAGAGTACTTTTCTTTCTTTTCTTTTCTTTTTTAATGTTGTTGTTGTTGATGGTGGTAGTGGTGACGATGGTGGGGGGCGGGGTGGTGATAATAGGGGTGTTGATGATTTATTCAACTTTGGTATTTCTTTCATCTCTTTTTTTTCTCCTATTTTTTCTTCGTTTTCAATCTTTTTTCTTTTAAATCATCATGTGAATTTGTTACTTTTATTTTCTTTTTTATACTTTTATGTAAATAATGAATAAATTTTTTACCAAGTAATAAAAATCCAATAGATATAGACCAAGTGATTGTATAATTGAAATATCTAAGTAATAGATTATATTTAAGAAATTGTGGATATGGTGATGTATTCCATAAAATTATTCCAGTTTCTATGCTAAATGGTTTTTTGTTGTTGGTGTTATTTATTGTGTATGTTTGTTTGTTTGTGTTTGTGTGTGTGTGTGTAAGAGAGTGTGTGTGTGAGTGTGTGTGAAAAATTCGTCAAAATATCATGTTAGTTATGTTATAAAAAGGAAAAGAAAAAAAAAGAAAGAAGGCAACAATAAAGTTTAAGAATAGAAATTTATATAATGGAATATATCATGTCATGAATATATTTACTTAAATCAATAGACAAAAGAACATATTCATTCATGTACTTGTTGTTTGTGTGTATTCTATTTCATAATGGAATGATGTAATACATTTGTGTATTGAATACTTGAACTTTTGTATATTAGTGATGTTGTATAAAGTATGCTAAACGACTTCATCATCATCATTGTCATCATCCAAAGCATCATCAACATCATATCCGAAGCATCATCATTATCATCCGAAGCAACAGCATCATCATATCCGAAGCATCATCATTATCATCCAAAACATCATCATCATCCAAAGCAGCAGCTGCATCATCATCGTCCAAAGCATCATCATCATCACCAACATCTTCTTGTTTGGTAGAAGAAGGCACAAAATACATATGAGCCACACAAGTCAAATAATTTGTGGCTGGAATACTACCTAGATACATAAACTGAAGCGCAGAGCCTTTGATCTAGAGGCTAAATGCATAAGACAGTGGAGCAACGTTAGAAGATGCATACCCATGGTAGTTTATGGCCAACAATAGGTTCATACGTAATTTGTTTCCTTAAGATCATAGAACCCATATTTACCATTGGTTTGGAATCAGGGTTTTTCAACTCATCTAGCTAGATCCTCCATATCCACTAAACAAACATTCATTTTTTCATCCTTTCAATTTCATAAACAATACTTTTACCGCAAAAAGGCACTGAATAAAACTTCCATGTTAGTGATTATATACCAGTGACTATGTGAGAATATTTTGAGAGGGAGAGTTGATCTCTTTTAGAACCGAAAAAAAGAACGTTTTCAGTTCTATTTACAATATATTATTATTATTCATTTATCTTAGATATTTAGTGTATTCAGTTTTTAGTATCAGAAGGGCTTTTGTGAATATTATTAGTAATTTTACTAGTTGACATCATGGGTCAGTTGAATCTAGACCATCATGGAAAACCTGAAAGCACTGGACAGCCGTTTCATCCTATTATGGTACTCTTCAGCAGTTCGCATTCGAACCTAGGACATAGATGTGTCGCTCAATTTCGTACATTAGTTGAAGTTAGACATTAACACCGTTAGATACCGGCCGGTTTATTGGTCTACAGGTTAAACATTCGCGCATAAGACTGATAGATCCTCAGTACAAACCTGGTGAAGCCATGATCATGAATGTGTATTGCTGAGGAATCACACAATAGGATGAAACAGTTATCCAGTTCTTTTAGGTTTTCTTTGATGTTCTACCTTTAATTGACTCATAATTTCAACTATTCAGTTTTTCTCATAGCATCAATATAACATAATTGGCTATTAAATTAATGACCTTATTAGACAAATTCATTCATAATGTATTATGATGATAAATAATTCAATCCATGTAATAAGAGAAGTTTCTAATATCATCATCATCATCATCCTTATACACCATAAGTTTATTAGATCATTTTTGTTTCTATGGTAGTTTATTAAAGTATCTCTTTGAAATATGAGTATGATTATAAAAAGAAAAAAAGAAAAAAAAGAAAACAAAAGAAGAAGATTAAAGTGAAGTGAACCCTTTGAATTCTATTTTTGTCATTCAATATTTATTCTTTTATAAATTGTATACTCTTTGATTTTCTTTTTTTTTCTTTTTTTTTTAAAGGAGGGGGGGAGGGGTGAGTTGTTCCTTTTTGATACTTTTCATAGTTTAATTGAATAATATAAAGTTATGATTAGTAAAGTTTATTCAGGTTAATGGTAAGATATGCAATGATAATGAAATTAAATGATAAATATGTATCATGTTACATTCATTCTATGAGAATATAAAGGTTATAGGTTCAGTCATTGATATACCCTATTATGGTGTACTAATCAAGAGTTTTTAATTTAGATGAAAATTTGTCTAATGTTTCATGGTTTTGATGGAGTTTTGGTCTCAGAGCTGGATGGTTCGGTTGGGGAGTTATCATCGTTCTTCTGAATGACATCATCCGCAGCGCAAACATCGAACACTTCACTTCTATCCGAAGTTTGTGCTGCGGATGATGTCGTTCAGAAGAACGATGAAAGCTCCATGACCAAACCATCCAGGTCAAAGAACAAAACTCCGTCAAAATCACCCACCTGAGCTGCAAATTTTCTTCACTATCTCAATGCTTAATGGTATTCATTGGTTTTGTGGCTGATGTAATTATTATATAACGTATTCACTTAGTATTGTTTCTTTGAATCTTCCTATTGATGTTTAGGACTGTGATTGACCAGTCTCTTATTCACAAATATTATAATGCTAACGGTACTGAGTTCGAGTCCTAGAGTGAACATTAACTCTGGGATCCAGGTATATCCAGCTGATCAGTACCTAATAGGACGAAACGCGCGTCCTGGATTCTACTACTAGCCACTATCCATCTTTGCTTTCAATGCCTGTCACTTAAGGCTCTATCGCGGCAATTCGCACAGGATACACATAAGCCAAAAAGTGACTGATCAATTGCAGTACTAAACATCAATGGGAAGATTCAAGTGAACAATACTAAATGAATTTAACCTTCGTCCTATTGCACAAGCAGGTGGCTACTATGGTTCAGTAGCTAAGTGGATAACGCAGTGGCATTTGAAACGAACGGTACTGGGCTCGATTTCGAGAGTGAACATCAAGTCTGAGATGCAGGTACATTCGGTTGACGAGTTTCAAATAGGACGAAGTGGTGCGTGTTCTGGATTCCACTGACAACTATCTTTGCTTATAATGAATTGAAGTCTAATAGATTGGATTTCTGATATTTGTCAATTGACAATTGACAAATATGCAACTTCATAGTCGCGTATATAGGAACCACAAATTTCATGAATTGATAACTGAATACAAACAATATACTAAAGTTATAATATCTTGATGCGTTAGGTTTTGGATTACGGCGCAATTGTTGCTTTATTCAGTGTTATTCATAACTAGACACAAAGATGGATGATGGTTATCAGTAAAATCCAGGACGCGCGTTTCTTCCTATTTGGGACTTACTAACTGGATGTACCTGTATTCTAGAGTTCATATTCATTCCAGAGCTCGAACCCATTACTGTCCTCTTCAAACGATATTACATTATCCACTTAATTATTGAGTCATGATAGCCACTAGTTTGTGCAATAGAGTGAATTTTAAATCTATTTGTACCTGTAATTCTTTGAAATTCAGTTCAAGTGTTTATTGGATAGATCGTATACAGTAGAACTATTCAGAGCATTAAATCAATTATATAATCATAATTATTATGCTTTCCGGTTAGCGAATTTTTAACGAATTAGTTTTCTACGGAAAAAGGGTCACTAACCCCATGCCCAACCTTCCTCCTTTATTCGAGGTTTGGACTAGTGTTAGCCCCAGAGCAGTTCCAGGCAACCTTCGAGTATAGAAGAGAGTTTTTCAAAATCATTTCTGTTAAACTAAAAACACAAACATATTGAACTTACAAGATGTTATAAATGATTCCAATGAAACATTCGATCTTTAATGCATTGTAGAATGAAACTATTTTCGGATGACATAAGTAAGCATCGAGTACCAAAGCAATTGGTGGAATTAAATGCTTTAATTCATTATGTAATACAAAAGAATAAGGAAAATAATGATAGTTGAAATGTAATATCTTATGGAAATAGATATTTATAAGAGTAGTGACTAACTGTACTTATTCACTTACTTACTTTACTTACACCTGTTACTCCCAATGGAGCATAGGCCGCCATGAGATCCCCATCCTAGAAGTGCATTTTGTACTTGTTTGGATAACATCAATACAACTCATTGTGTATATGGAGCATTTTCTTCAAGGGTGGAGTATAACAGAAGCTCACTTGAAGCTAGTCATTGTTGTTTAATGACTAACTGTACATACTGTTTTACATGTTCATTCATAATCATTCAATTCTGTTAATCAACTTGTAATATGACCATAAATTTGAGTAACTCAAAACTAAGTTTTGTGGTTTTATAGTTGATAGGAAACCTTGTAAAATAGACACACTTTCATGGTGTATTATCGTCAGAGTTTCCTTTTCTACTAGTAGTATGCAATCACTGCGTTCAATAACTATCGATCGGCACCACATAATAAACAACTTAATGTTGGTTATTGCTAACTGATGAAATACTGAAATGAACTTAATCATATAGGAGAAGAATGATTTTTTTCTGGTTAGCGTTTTTTTAGCGAGTTAGTTTTCTACGGGATGGGGACGCTAACCCCATGCCCAACCATCCTCCTTTATCCGGGCTTGGGACCGGCAGTAGCCCTCGGAGGGACTCCAGGCGGAGGAAGACCAAAGAACACATTACGCCGAGAAATGGAAATAGACATGAGAAAAATGAACAAGAATTGGATGGAACTAGAAAAGAAGGCCCAGGACAGAGTGGGTTGGAGAATGCTGGTAAGCGGCCTATGCTCCATTGGGAGTAACAGGCGTAAGTAAGTAATATAGGAGAAGAGTATTGATGTAACATTTTAATATATCAAGAACTATGTTAAGTTATCATTCATTGTTTGTTTATTTTGCAACCAATATGTGGTTAATGAGTAATACTATTTACAGTAAAGTAACTCATTTAAGTTAGAAGTAAACTTCCAGGAAATTAGAAATCATCAGTAAAGAATTGTGGCATCAAGATATATTTCTTGAAGTTCTAGTGAGAAGCTGTGATGAGTGGAGTTCATCCAGTTACTCACTGAAAATAATGGTGGAAAGTGGTGCAATTACGTGGATTGGTTGAAATTAGACATTAACACCTTTGGATACTGGCCGGCTTAGTTGTCTAGAGGTTAATCATGAGTGACCGAATGTCGTGGGTTCAATTCCTACATGAATGATCTTAGATGCGCACTGATGAGTAATCCCATAGTAGGACGAAGCTAGAAACTGACAAATAGTTTATGAAAACCTCTGTATTCTATTATACAACCACATAGTACATTACGTATCCAGTTTCACTGGGTAATTTAATAACTCATTCATACTTTGTTTACTTCCAAATGTCATAATATTCAACCTGGAAGAGTAGACGTAAAGTCAGTTTATAATTCTAGTGAAACTTTAACAGTTATTTTTGTAAGCAATGATGGATAGTGACTAACAGTGGAATCCAGGACGCGCATTTCGTCATATTTGGGACTCGTCAGATGGATGTACCTGCATGAGTTGATGTCCACTCTGGGACTCGAACCCAGTACTATCCGCTTCAATCTCCATCGCGTTATCCACTTAGCTACTGAGTCCTGACAGCCACTTGCAATATCGAGGCATACGCACAGTATGCAAATATGCCGATAACAGACTGATCAACTGCAGTCTTAAACCTCAATGGGAAGATACAAGCCAAATAATACCAAGTGAATTTAACAGTTATGTTTATTCTCAAGAGTTTTATTAGTGAATATGTGTTGTACTGAGCATCATTTTTTGGCTAAATTTTGGTTCTTCATTGGAGAAGTGTTGTATTGTGCTAAATAGAGTTTTATCAATTTAGCTGACGTCAGTTCGTGATGAAAACTCTAATTCTAATTCGTATCCCTAACGACCAACTTTAAAACATAATTCGGCGAGACTCTAATTTATGGACAACCTTTGAAAGAATCTTAAGTGACCTTGAGAAATATTAGATAATCAGCAAACAGTCAGTATAGAGTAAAAATATGTTATACAAAACCAAGAAAATATAGTGGATACACTTCTTATACGTGGTTCAAAAACGTGTCAAGCTTAGAAAAAGGTTCAGAGGTTCTAAATCGTAATGGATGCAAATAGAGAAAATCATTCATACGGCTACAGAATAGTCGGCCTCTGGAGCCATGTTAAAGTTTCAAAAACTCTTTCAGCCTCGACCACATAGCTTCAATATTGTTTATGTGCACTCCGGTTGTTGAGTGCACTAAATACTACTTGTGGATAACGACACGATGCACACAACCAAACGTATGTAGGAGTCTGTACGCTCTCCAAACATCCGTATATATTGTAGTACCTGGCTCCAGCTAGCGTTACTGTTGCTTTTATTATCCAGTTCTCAATAATTGTCATAATTTGCCTTAGTTAACAATTATATATAGGGTTTTCATCACGCACTGACATCAGCTATAATGCCAGAAATCTGTTTAGCCAAATGAATGAAAGGCTTTCGCGTTAAAATCCGAGATCTATTATCTTATACCTGACTGATTCGTCCACAATTTATAGTTTCGCCGTTTTATTTGTTATAGCCGCTCGGTTATCACGTTTTGTACAAAATTCCCTGTAAACCGATCGTACGTTAGCATTAAGTACTGAAGTTGGCGCCGTAACCTTGAAATCTCCAAGACGCTTCTGATTGGCTCGTCCATAATTTAGAGTCGCGCCCATAATTCTAATTCCTCACACTAATTTACAACCCTCATTTGGTCTTAGTTATCAGGTGGACACTTTCAAGGTCAGTTTAACATCACTCAAATGTCGTCCATGAATTATAATCTCACCTATGGATTCAGTGAACTTTTAAAGGTTACAATGAAATCTCAACAAAACATATTGATCAAGTAAATGGGAAATCATTCAAAACTCCATGATGAAACACTTTAATTGTATGTTAGAAACATTCAAAATAATTACAACTGTTACGTTTTAAGATCATTGAGATCATTAATCGTTTGATTTTAGACTACTATTGAAAACCTTGAAGCACTGAACATCCATTTCATCCTAGTATAAGACTTCTCAGTAGTGAGCACTCATCTCGCGGGATTCAAACTCAGGATTTTGGGTCTCGCACGCGGACACTCAACCTCTAAGTCACTCGACTGGCTGTCATTGAACGGTGTTAATGTCTAACTTCAATCAATCCATTAAAATTGAACAATCGTCTACCATTTTCTGAGATAGATACCTGTCTATAACTGACATAGATTAGCTTCTAAGTTTTCAATAGTGATCTAACACTGATCGATTCATGATCTTAATCAAAAACTTCATACTCTCTACAATTCCATATTGATAATTACAACTATTACATTCTTATTATCATTTTGAATTGACTTCAATAGTATTATAGTAATAAAAATGATTTATATACGTTGAATACTACTTATCAAATAAAGAAACTTAAAACAAGAAACAATAATAATAAACACTTACACATAAATGATTATACCATAATGGCATATTTTTTAATTCATCAATTTCATAAATCATTTGGGATCATAAAGAAATGCACTCCAGTAGAAAAGCATCATTGTCTAGGAATAAATAGATGATTAATGATGATAATGATAATCAATAAGGCGGCCTGCTTGAATATCTAGGCTATATATACATATATAATATTGAATAAAGCCATTAATAATAATAATAATGAGTATTGTACTGCTGGAGAGGCCCATACTAGGATGAAACGGTTGTTCAGTACTTCCACATTTTCTATCGTGGTCTAGCTTCAGTTGTCTCATGATTACAACTATTGAAATTTCTAAAATCCCCACAAAACCCATTCTGATAATAACCACATGCTCATTATTGACTGACTTCAAGAGGCATTTTTTGGAGTTCTATTGAGAGGCCGTTACCAGTGGAGTTCAACCAGGTCTGTTGTGAAATATCAGCTCACTGAAGACAATGCTGGACGGTGGCACAACATCGTGGATTGGTTGAAGTTAGAGATTAACGCCTTTGGATGCCGGCTGGATCAGTAATCTAATGGTTAAGCGCTCGCGCGCGAGACTAATAGGCTTTAGATTCGTATCCTGCAAGGCGAGATCATAGATTCACACTGCTGAGTAGTTCCATATTTGAATGAAACGGCCTTCCAGTATTTTCAGGTTATCCATGGTGGTCTAGCTCCAATTGACTCATGATTTCAACTATTGATAATGATTATTATTAAATGAACTACACACACACACACACAAACTCACATACACCAACACATCTCCACACACATACATATTGATAAAGTCTTACCGAATTAAATGAGAATACAACCAAGAATTGATAACCACGAATATGATCAAGATTAAAGTATTGTAATGGTATTGAAGTTATAAAGTAGATTGCATTTAAAGTCTATACAAAAGAAAACAGTATGATTATTATTATTACTGTAAAGATGAATTACCATTGTAATACATGTGAAGAACTTCAATAGATAAAGTACTTGAATTAGTTGAATACCTTCATTATTATTTGGATAGAAATAGAAATAACCAATTTGTGATGAAATTGTATATAGAATAATAACAATTAAACGATATAGTATTAAGTAATCCGTATTGAATAGATGGTTACTGATTGATTTCATTAGTTCTATTATGTAATGACCTGAAAAATAGTTAGATAGATAGATATATAAAGAATAAAACTGTAATGTATGATAAAATGTCAATGTATTATGTTAGTAATGAATTATAATTTACCATAGATTATATACAATAGATAGACTATAAGAAAGAATGTAATCGAAATGTTCTGTTTAAGAGTTTCTTAACTGATTATACTTGGATCTCATTGTTACTTTGAGGAGATGAATGACCTATGAGCGAAGCGAAACTGATCTTGAAAGTGTTCACCTAATAACTAGGACTAAATGAGGGTTATAAAGCAATTTGAAGAATAAGGATTATGATTTACAGTTGATGAGGTTAAGGTTAGAAATTAGATGTAGGGTTTTCATCACCAACTGACAATAAGTTATAATTCCAAGAGTCTATTTAACCAAATGGTTGAATGAATTTCGTGCTAAAATCTAAGACCTGTTATCTTAAATATGGTTGATTCGTCCATAAGTTATAGTCTCACTAAAACTTTATATACATAGTATGCGAATTATCATTAATATGTGATAACAGTCGATAGATGAACTTATCTCTATGAATGTATGTTAAATGGAATGACCACTATCGATATGATGTTTTCATGATTCAATGGAATTATATACAGAAGCAAATATGTGAAACCATTTAATAATAATCACAGTATAAGTAAATATTCTTCTCAAAATGCTCTCACATAGCCACGTCAATACAACCATACCCACAGATGACCAATTCGCTATCTTTCTCTCATCCACGGTGTTGTTCACGAAATTGAGAGGAAGAAAGTCGAATGTTTGGTGCATTAACCGGGATGGTGAATACAAACAGTCCAACTAACGGAGTTGGAAGTCCGTGATTCCACACAAATGGTACACATGGATTATAGAATCCGGAAGGAACAAATAGTGTATGAACCAATTACTGGTCACCGGCAACCATGTGACTGCATCTCCTGACGTTCCTCCACTACACTACCTAGTGGATTAGACTTCTAGGTCGATGACTCCGAGTGTGGCTTCCTAAGCCAATCACCTTCTTCGATTTGGGCACCCGATCAGTATCATATCCCTCACACGAATCGAATGATTTATGTGCCGAATATCTATTTGAAGCCTCGTTGTACTAATTACGTAATTAGAAATGGTTTTAATCTGATTTATAATGTAAAATTACACATATTACATACATTTTTTCATTGACCTTTTTAATATGATGAATGCCAATAACAGACTGATCAATCGCAGTCTTAAACCTCAATGGGAAGATACAAGCCAAACAATATCAAGTGAATTCAAATTCACCCCATTACACAAGCGAGTGGCTATCACGACTCAGTAGCTGAGTGAATAACGCAATGGCGTTTGAAGCGAATGGTACTGGGTTCGAGTTCCAGAGTGAACATCAACTCTGAGATGCAAGTACATCCAGCTGACAAGTCCCAAATAGGATGAAACGCGCTTCCTGGTTTCCACTGCTAGCCGCTATCCATCATTACTTATATAATGAATTGTTTTTATTTTGATAAACAATAGAGTGACGTAATCATTGTCTGTTCAACATGATACTTTAAGTTTTACCAATAAACAAATGATCAGTTAAATAAATGTCAAAGAAACAACTTTGGTGAGATTATCGTTTATAGATGATCATTGAGTGAAGGCAGACTGATCTTGAGAGTGTTCATCTAATCACTAAGACTGAATGAGGGATTATGATTTACAGTTGATGGGGTTAAGGTTAATAATTAGATTTAGGCTATTCATCATGAACTGACATAATCCAGAATGCCAAAACGACATTTAGCTTAATGGGACGAATGAATTTCGCGCTAAAATCCAAGACCTGTTATCTTAAATTTCATTGGCTCATTCCGAATTATAGTCTCTCCGTTATTACTTTTTTTATCAGTACTGGAAATCAATTTAGGAACAATAAAGTGGGGGATTCGCATGCATATAGCATACAATTCTCTTTAAGCTAGCACATAACAATAGCATCATACACTGTTCCATCACTCGTAACTTCGGTGGTACAATGGTAGAATACTCGCTTATCATACACTACTCAAAGTCGGTACTTTCTGCTTTAAACACTAATTCATTATTCATAATGTTACTGAGTCTATATGGATTCTACTAATGAATAAGAATTTAGATAAAATATGAGTTCTGAACTTCACTACTAGTCACATTTCAATTATGTTGTATGAACTATCTTAAGACTTTGCATATTGGATGCATATATGCTAACTAAAACTGGTTGAATGTCCATGCAAATATGAACTATACGATAATTACATGATAAATGTCTTGTGAAGATTGTTGAATCTTCATATATTTTGCATTATGGGTTAATGTCAGTCATAAAACAATTGAAAATATGAGAATAGTTGACAATTTTCTTTTCCATCCTATTATAGAGCTTCTAGGTGATAGTTTTCATTCATGAATATATTGAGGATCGAACTCAAGACTTTCACTCTTTGCTAACCTTTAGATAACTAGTCTGTCATACATTGGTTGACATGCTTAATTTCAATTGTTTCTCAATATCACTTAATTACGCCTTTTACTCCTAATGAAGAATAGGCAACCGACCAGCATTCTCAAATCCACTCTCTCCTCGGCCTTCCTTTCTAGTTCTATCCAATTGTTGATCATTCTTCTCATATCTGTCACCATTCCTCGGTGCAATGTGTTCTTTGGTCTTCCTCTCCTCCTTCGGCCTTGAGAATTACAAGTCATGGCATCCTATGTGACACAGTTGAGTGAATTCCTCAATGTGTGTCCTATCTACTTCCATTGATTCTTCCTGATTCCTTCCTCTGCTGGGATCTGGTTTGTTGTCTCCCATAGTAGATTATTGCTAATAGTGTCCGGCCAACGGATCTGAAGTATTTTGCGTAGACAACTGTTAATAAACAGTTGTATCTTCTTCTCCAAGTTTCCACTCCATCCAGTAGAACTGTCTTGATATTTGTATTGAAAATTCTGACCATGGTGTAGGTTGACAGTTGTTTTGAGTTCCAGATGTTCTTCAGTCGTAAATGTGCTACTCTTGTTTTGCACACCCACGCTTTCATATCTGCATCAGATCCATCGTGTTCATCAACGATGCTGCCCTAATATGTGAAGGTTTTTAAATCTTTCAAATCTTCTCCGCCAATTGTGACGGGATTGGTACACGTTGTTATGTATCGAAAAATCTTGCTGTCCCCTTTGTGTTATTTCTCAATAATATGTAAATATAATGTAATATCATTAGTGGATAACTACCTCACATTTAACAAAATTGAATTTCTCTGATCACGACTTTATATTAAAACATTGAGAATTACATTATAAAGTTGGTCATTGTTGGGGACGAGATTTTTATCAGTAATGGAGGCATCATCATCATCATCATCATCATCATCATCATCATCATCATCATCATCATCATCATCATCATCATCATCATCATCATCATCATCATCATCATCATCATCATCATCATCATCATCATCATCATCATCATCATCATCATCATCATCATCATCATCATCATCATCATCATCATCATCATCATCATCATCATCATCATCATCATCATCATCATCATCATCATCATCATCATCATCATCATCATCATCATCATCATCATCATCATCATCATCATCATCATCATCATCATCATCATCATCATCATCATCATCATCATCATCATCATCATCATCATCATCATCATCATCATCATCATCATCATCATCATCATCATCATCATCATCATCATCATCATCATCATCATCATCATCATCATCATCATCATCATCATCATCATCATCATCATCATCATCATCATCATCATCATCATCATCATCATCATCATCATCATCATCATCATCATCATCATCATCATCATCATCATCATCATCATCATCATCATCATCATCATCATCATCATCATCATCATCATCATCATCATCATCATCATCATCATCATCATCATCATCATCATCATCATCATCATCATCATCATCATCATCATCATCATCATCATCATCATCATCATCATCATCATCATCATCATCATCATCATCATCATCATCATCATCATCATCATCATCATCATCATCATCATCATCATCATCATCATCATCATCATCATCATCATCATCATCATCATCATCATCATCATCATCATCATCATCATCATCATCATCATCATCTACACCTTCAAAGAAGGAATCGATTAAATTCTCAACTGGATTTTCACGAAACCGTCATAAATAAACACCGCCTTTCTTTCTTAAGAGAAAATAGATTGAACGTACACTTTATAAATGAAATGAACATTATTATATATATATATATATATATATATATATATATATATATATATATATATATATATATATATATATATATATATATATATATGCACATTTAAACCCAAATAAGCCAACATCGCTATACAATTCTATGCACATTAACGGTTAATATGAATGCGCTTACAATATCATATGACAACATAAAGTGCACTTGAAAGTTAATAAACAATTTGACTTTTCTTCTATTTTATCAATTTCACTTTGTTCGTTTTTTTCTTCTTCTTTTTCTTTCGTTTATTTTTACTTGATTCTTTATATTCTGTCGATTCGACCCTTGAAGTTTATGATGATCCCATACTGTGAAAGTTATATATATATATAAATACATATATATATATATACAAGCCTTATCGATTAGCTGTCTACATATGATATCATCGGATTATGTTGCCATTAATCGTGTTGTGTTTTGTTGACGATCCTGATAAGTCTTATCTTGAATGACAACAAATTAGAATCGGGCTAAACGAGTTTATATTCAACAAAGAGTAAGTATGAGGGAAGGGGGAGTGGAGGTAGAAGATGATAATTTTACTTAGTCATAATTTTCTATTTTATTGGTTTATATATAGTTTACACTGTACTTTGATATGTTTAGAATAGGAATTACGGATATTTGCCAAATAGTAATACAGTTTAGATGGATAGTGGTTAGCAGTGAAATCCAGGACGTGCGTCACTTCGTCCTAGTTTGGACTCGTCCGCTGGATGTACCTGTATAGAAGATTTATTATTCACTCCGAGACTCGAACCCAGTACTGTTCGTTTCAAACGCAATCGAGTTATCCACTTAACTACCATGTCCTGATAGCCACTTGTTTGTGCAATAGAGTGAAGTTGAAATTCACTTAGTATTGTTTACTTGTACCTTTCCATTGTTGCTTGGGGCTGCAATTGTTCAGTCTCTTGTTGGCATTTGTGCATCCTGTGCGGATTGCCTTGATACTGCCTTAAGTCACAAGCTTTTTGAGCAAAGGTGGATAATGGCTAACATTGGACTCGCGTTTCGTCCTATTTGGGACTCGTCAGCTGGATATACCTGCATCGCAGAGTTGGTGTTCACTCCGGGATGGTATCATTACTATATGTAAGTGTATTAAAAGTTTATGAATGTGTTCAGCATAGTTCAGTTTAATGAATATAACTCCCATAAAATCCTTCTTCCGCGCAACAATTTTTCATTAACATCAATCCCTATGTGTATTGGAATAAGTTTATTTGTTCAATAGGGATCTATATCAGTTTGTTATTCCTATTTACGTGTATGCAATTGTGTTCACTATTGAGTATAGATTGGAAGTTTAATTCTTAGTAAATAGAGTTTGACAAATATCAAGGATTAGGGGAAGATTATATTTGGCTTCTACTCAATGAGTAATAAATGAAAACATGCTCACTAGTGATTGGCTTCAAGATGTATACCCTGCTGTTCTAGTGAGAAGCCGTGACCAGTGGAGATCAACCAGGTCTGTTATGAGATAGTAACACACTGATGAAGACAATGGTGGATGTGTCGCTCAATTCCATGGATGAGTTGGAGTTAGACATTAACACCGTTGGATGCCGGCTGGTTCAGTGGCCTAGTGGTTAAGCGCTCGCGAGCGAGACTGATGGGCATTGGGTTCGTATCCTACAAGGTGTGATCATAGATTTGCACTGCTGAGTAGTCCCATATTTGGATGAAACGGCCGTCCAGTACTTCCAGGTTATCTATGGTGGTCTAGCTTCAATTTACTCGTGAACTGAACTATCAACTTACTACAATCTCTGCAAAACCTCTCTGTGACTAACAATAACAATACTCATGAATTATCCCTTTTGATATGGGAATTCAAACAGATAGTGCTATTAATACTAAGGTATTTTGGGGATTACAATTTCACATCATGACCCTATCTTGGTTAGGTAATCACTGAAAGACAAGAACCATTACATTCTAATTTAACTCTTTGAAGGATTAGAAATTCTGGCTTCTACTCTATGTAGGATGACAGATACACACTATTGAGAGTTAATTGACTGTTCAATACTTCTTGGCCTACAATGTTTGTTTAACTAGTAATCATTTCTTTATCTTGATCTATGAAGAAGCTCTATTTTATAATAATAATTTTACATATGTTTCAAACAGTAGCCTCTGTATCAGTAGGCCTTGACATACACAAAGGAAAAAGCAACATCCTCAAATACAACACGGAGAACATCAACCCAATCACACTTGATGGCGAAACTCTGGAAGATGTGGAATCCTTCATGTATCTCGGAGGTATCATTAATGAGTAAGGGGGACCAGATACAAACGTAAAAGCGAGGATTGGCAAATCAAGGGAGGAATTCCTACAGTCGAAGAATATATGGAACTCAAAAAGCAGTCTGCAAACCAATATCAAAGTGAGAATCTTCAGTAAAATTGTCAACACAGTTCTCTTGTATGGAGCTGAAACATGCAGAGATACCACAACTATCATCAAAAAAGTACAAGCGTATTTAAACAATTGTCTACGTAAAATACTTAATGTCCGTTCACCGAATACCACGAGCAACAGTTCATTGTGGAAGAGAACGAACCAACTTCCAGCTGAAGCGGAAATTAGGAAAAGATTTTGGAAGTGGATAGGAAATACATTGAGGAAATCACTAAACTACATCACCAGATAAGCTCTAACTTGAAATCTTGAGTGAAAACGAAAAAGAGGAAGTCCAAAGAACACATTACATCGAGAAATAGAAGCAGATATGAAAAAGATGAATAACAACTGGAATGAGCCGGAAAGGATTGCCCGTGACAGGGTTCGATGATGAGTACTGGTGGGACACCTATGCTTCTCTACGAGAATGAACATGCGTAAGTAATATTTTCCAAACATAACCAAGGTAGACATTATACGGAAGAATTACTTCGCGAATGTCTTATGTAATCTTACGTTAGTTTTTCTATTTGATTTTATCAGTCCTAGCCCAATCAAATATGAAGTAACGTCATATGAATGAAATCATTTATCAATTGAAATGATCTTTGAAAAAAAAACTATCTAAACAAGAACTATTCAAAGTGCATACTGAATGAGAATCAGTTAATTAATTTGTCAAATCATAACCAAAATTTATTGGATAATCTTATGTTCCTAATTTATGATCTAACGAAGTTACATAATCAAACTTAAAGAAGGAACCGATCTTAAGGTGTATACTTGTTATAAAAAACTGAAACTATAATGAATGATGGTCTAATATCAATCGGTTCATGATCTGAATCAAGGACATACGAATCTACATCACTCCATACTGATAATTATTATGTGCTCACTAGTGACTAGGCTCGTGAGGAGATTCTAGGAGTTCAAGTAAGAAGCCGTGATCAGTGGAGCTAATCCGTGTCAGGTAGAGACAGGTATCTACTTCAGGACAATGGATGATGGTCACGCAATTTCGTGAATTAGTTGAGGTTAGATATTAACACCATTGGATGCCGGCCAGATCAGTGGTCTAATAAGTTAGGCGTTCGCGCGCGAGACTGAAGGCCCCGGGATCGGAGATGCGCACTGCTGAGGAGTCCCACAATTGGACGAAACTGTTGTCCAGTGGTCTGACATCAATCGGTTCAAGATCCCAATCAAAAACACCAAATGAATTTAAACCTCACCCTATTGCACAAGGAAGTGGCTAACAGGACTCAGTAGCTAAGTGGATAACATGATTAGTTTCAAACTAATATCAAAGAACATCACATAATTATCTAATTACAGTTATGAACAATTCAGGAGTTTCCACTCAGTACTCAACTAGGAATTGTACATAAATCATTTACATATAAGATTAAACTCATGAACCTACCAGTAATTAGCTTATCGTCAGTCACTAAGTACTCAGTCCAGATTGTTGACTGAATTCCGGATGTGATGTAACTAACTAAATGGTATAGGAATAAAATAATTGTTCACTACTACTATGGTTTTTATGGATTCAAGTGATGAACACTAGTTTAAAGGGTAAATAATTTTAACTTGCACTCAAATTCGGTGCTGTTTTTAAGATATAGATTTTTTCTGCACTTATAGGATAGAGTTACTAATTACATAACAAACGCATATACTTTATTCAAACTTCAGAATAACAGTAATTCTAGGAAGATTTCAAGCGGGATTCTTAGATATAATTAACAAAATATTCAGAAACGGTAATTTGTGAAGATTGTAGCAGTTTTTTGATGGAGTTTTGTTCCCTGAGTTCTATCTAAAATCATCCACCTGATCTACAAATCTCCACCATCTCAAGACTGTAGAAGTTCAGCTAACTCTATAGTGAGACAGTAACACATTAAAGATAGTGATGAATGGTGTCGTAATTTTATGTACTGATTAAAGTTAGAGATTAACACTATTGGATGCTGACAAGTTCGGTAATCTAAAGATTAAGCGTTCGCATGCATGACCCAAAATGCTGTGTTTGAATTCCGCGTACAGGATCATGGATGTACAGTGCTGAAGAGTCATTAAAACTAAAGAAAAAATATCATCACTATAGGGGTTATGGAGATTAGTCAGTTTCTGATTGAGATCAAGGAAAGGAATGACGCTAGACCACAGTTAGAAACCTGGAAGCACTGGATGGCCGTTAGGGTTCATGATCTTAATCAAAAACCTAATAGTCTCCACAACCGCTATACTGATAATTATCATGTGTCCTCACTAGTGACTATCATCGTGAGGGGATTCTAGGAGTTCAAGTAAGAAGCCGTGATCAATGGAGCTAATCCGTGTCGGGTAGAGATAGGTTTCTACTTCAGGACAATGGACGATGGTTGATCAATTTTGTGGATTGTTTGATGTTAGACATTAACACCATTGGATGTCGATCAGATCAGTGGTCTAGTAAGTTAGGCGTTCGCGCGCGAGACTGAAG